TCAGCAGGCTTAGTGGGTTTGAGCTGGCTGCGAAAGCTTTGAAAGTGAAGTGCACCTGGAACTTGTGGGAGAACTGCACCAGGGAGAACTGGGGAAACCACACAGGGCTGGGGGCTGGGCCAAGGCACCAGAACCCTGGGGTTCCTCCCACAAGCTTCCCCTGGGGAGGGGAGGGCGAGGGGGAGGCTGCACCCTTTCCTTCCCTCCCCTGAGAGCACACCTGGGAGCTGGGACTCTGGAACTGGCTCATCATAGCCTTCACGAAGTTCAGCATTTTGGCAAAATTGGTGGAGGAGATGCTGCCCGAACCATCGATCAGGAAGGCAATGTCCTGCTCCTGCCTCAGGCACTCTGGAGAAGGAGGTGGCACCAGTCCCCCGAGGGACACTCCCAAAGCCCCGGCCTCCTGGTCACAAGAACCCACCCTCCCAGGGGCTGCCCTAATTCCTGCCTAGAGCAGGGCCCTTTGGTCTCCTGAAGTCTCTAAAGAGGACATATCTGTGATTCAGCTGCTCACACCTAGTTGATAAAAAAGTAACAATTCCTCCAATCCAGATGCTCTCCTGGCTTGGCTTTGCTCAGGGAGATTCCTATCTAGCTCCCAGCTGCCCCCTTCTGCCCCCAAGGCTTCCCATCAGAGAGAGGGTGTCCTGATGGTAGCCCAGGCACCTGTGGATGAATCTAGACCCTAGGAGTGCTGGGAGGGGCACCCCATTCAGGGCCCCAGACATCAGTCTCCCCAATGGCCTGAGTGTGAATGTGAAACCGGGGAGGGGCCTCGGCCTGCCCCGGGGTGGGGGGGTCTGAAAAGCTCACTGTTCCACCTCTTCATCCCCCTTCCCTGTCAGCACCAGGGAAGCTGGGCCCTGTGCCTCAACATGCACACACACACACACCTACATATACACACATACACATATACACATACACTACACGCACACATACATAACACAACACACATATACATGTATACATACCTCACACACTCATACACATACACACATACACATATACTCATACATACACATACATACACACTGCTCAGACTGCCTGCACTCACATCACCCTTTCCCAGCCTGCTGCATGAACTAATTGGCTATGCTGCAGGGTGCATTGTGTGAAAATAAATGCCCTCCACTCTAAAAATTCTTGCAGCTGGCATTAATTGAGCCCTCACCACATGCCAGGCACTGTGCCAAACCCTGGCCGAGGATCACTGTATGTTACTCTCAGTGTTGGGTGTGGTATTAACCCACAGGCAGATGAAGAGACAGAAGCTCAGAGAGGGAAAGGTCCTAGGAAAGGTCCTGCCGTGGGACAGTGATGGGGCAGGTGTAAAAGCAGGCGGTGACTCCTCCAGCCCATGTTTGGAATCACAATACCATCCAGTAAATTTTTTTTCTGGATCCCTCTTTTTTATCCACTTTGGGGTGTCTCTGGCTCCACTGCAAACCAGAGTCAGAGGTGTATAGGTACCTTGAAGGACTCAGTGGCCCCAAACACTCACCCTGCAGGGCAGCCGGGATCCTCTGGGCCTGCCGGGACGGGGAGACCAGCAGGAAGCAAAACCCGGTCAAGTGCATGTTCTCCCTGCATGCATGGTGCACGGTGGGGCCACAGGCCTGTGGACAGAGGGGCCTGGTGGGAGGGGTTGCCCCTGCTTCTGTCCCACCCTCCCATCCCAGCACCTTCTCCCTTCACGAGATCCCCAGCACCAACAGCCCCAGGTTCCCCCTCTTTCCCTCAGATGCTCCCGTGACCCAGGGCAACTCACCAGCAGCCGAAAGGGGCTGGTGGTGGCCACCATGGACAGGCCCAGGGACATGTTCACAGCCTCTGGAGGCACTGAAGGTACAGATGTGTGCATGGTCACCCTCAGGACAGAGGAGGCAGGGAACACCTCCTCTCTGGGAGATTAAGGGGTCTGACAGGTGAAGGGGGGGTCTCAGGTCTTGATGGAGGTATGGGGGTACAGGGGTGCATTGGAAAGGGAGACTCTGGGTGGGTCAGGAAGCCTGTCTGAGGGTAAGGGTCTGCAGACAGAGCTGAAGCCAGGAAGTGGGTCTCCTGTGCTCTCCACAGGCCCCCAGAGCATGGGAGCCTGGACCTGGGTCTCAGCCGGGGGCAGTGACTCACCCGGCAGGGGGATGGGTTCACACTTGCCCATGCTGTAGTTGCACTGGTAGAGGCCACCCGTTTGATTGGAAGCCTTTATCTCCTGGGGGGCTCCAACCACCAGCCTGGGGGGAGAAAAGAACACGACAGCTAAGAGTGTGGATGCCAGAGCCAGACTGCCACTTGACCAGTTTGTTTCCCCTCTCTGAGCCTCAGTTTCCTCATCTGTAAAGTGGAGATTAACAACAATTTAAATTCCGCATGGGAGAGATTTTTGTCTCTTTTATGCTCTGGTGTATGCCTGGCTCCTGAGACATTTAGTAATAAATGCTCAATAAACATTTGTTGAGTGATGGATTCCTACATCATAAGGTTGCTGTGAGGACGAAATCAGTGCCCACGAAAGGGTGCCTGGCACTTCGTAATTGCTTAAGAGATAAATAAAGTTAGCTGGGGTCCTCGAGATGGCAAGATGGCCCTTCTTTCAGTCCAACTCTTCAAAGCCTTGGCGGGAATTGCCATGGCAGACAGAGGAGAGTTTGTGAATAAAGAGAGGGATGTGGGGAGGGACAGGGGAGGAGTAGATGAGAGCCAAAGGCCAGACACCACACAGTCCTCACCAGTTGGCATACTGGACCACGCTGTATCCAAACCCAGCGCTGTCCACATGGAAGGTTGTTGGCTGGTCTATGTCCAAGTTGAAGCAGAAAGCGGAAGCCAGGGCTGGGGAGGAGTGTGAGGAGACACACTTTGGTGAAGGGTCTCCCTTCTGCTCCATCTCCCTGGCCCCCAGCCCCCTGCCCCACTGTCCCCTCCAGGCGCGATGCCCCAGCATCTCCTGGTCTTCTAGCCCCCAGGCTCAGCCTTGCTTCTCTCCTTCAGATGATCCAGAGATAGCTGTTCACCCACTGGTCTGCTAGCAAGTTTCAGTTCTTCATTTCCACAGAGAAACGCCCGAGCTCTAAAGATGCTCCTTCCCCACCCCTCCCCCTGGGCTCCTATGAGGAAGAATCCAGGAAAACTTGGGGCCAAATGGATGCGGTGAACAGAGTATAAGATTGACTCGTTCTGCCTACTTGAAAAACGTGTGGACTGCCCAGGCAACTGGCCTCTCTTCCAGAATCTCTTGAACTTCCCTAAAATTGGTTCAGTATCCTCTCAACCTCCACAAACTCCAGATCCCAAACCCGATATAACTCCAGATCCCTCCCCTAATGTCTGAGTCCAAAGCATGCATTCTCAACTCTCTCCCTACCTGGACCCCCATCCCCTCCTCCCCCTTCGTCGTGACTCTCAGCTTACCCATCGACAGGAGGAGGAAAATCCTGGTCCTGGTCATGACTGGAAGGTCAGACATGGGCATCGGAGAGTCTGAGCCACCAGGGAAACAGCTGGACCAAGATGCCAAGAAAGCAAGTAAACAGAGAGGGGCACAGGAGGCCGGAGGTAGGGAGGGAAGTTGTCAGCATGACTCAGAGGTGGAGGGTGGAGAATGCAACTAAAATAAGAAAAGAAAGGGGCCAGACAGCCCACACGCTCTGGGTCCAGAGATGACATGACTTGCTTCTCTTTGTCTCCCCACCCTAGGCTCGGGTGGATGCAAATCACCTGCCCTGCCCTACCTCTCTAGGTTCCCTCATTGTCCTGGCAAAAGTTTCCCCTTGACCTTGAAACTTCATTTAATCTGGGGAGGGGAAGTGGTAGATGCCAAGGTGGGGTCAGGGTCCTAAGAGAAACTCTGGTAGGAACCCTCCTTTTTGGACTTGGAAACCTCTGGGCCCAGGAGTCAAGTAGCTGGACCCTAGGAGCGGGTACAGCGTGGGTATTTGCTCATCTGTTCATCGTTCATTCAACAAGTCTAATTTGAGGCTGATTATGCAAGCCCTCTGTCAGCAGAGGGAGAAAACACAAGCCACAAGGCCCCAGCCCTGGGGTCAGTGAAGAAGAAAAATATGTAAACAGCAAGACATTGCTGTGAGAGGAGATGGTACCCATCGGTCACAAGGTATCTTACCCAGTTTGGAAGCATGTGGATTTCCAGGAAGGCTTCACCGAAGAGGTGACACTTGATCTGAGTCTTGAAGGCAACTGACTAGAGGGGAGCGTATTTCAGAAGGGTTGGCCAACTGTGGAAGAGGCATGAGACAGGAGGGCCTCTTAGGAAATCAGTGATAGAAACCAGACAGTGGGAGGTAGGAAGTGACAAGAGATGAGGTCAGTGGGGGAGGAGGGAAGGGGAAGCAGGCCCCAGGCCCAGAAAGCCCCCTTAAGGCTGGTTGATTTTATCTCGAAGACAGAGGGAAGCATAGAAGCAAATTATGAAGACTGAGATATTCAATTTTATGTTTCAGAAAGCTAGAAAGAGGGGCTGTGCAGGGCACAGTTTCCTTGGGAGCTAGCTGGAGACAGATCATTCAGGAGGGAGGTGATGGGGGCCTGTGGGTGAGCTGGTGGCCATGGGGATGAACTGAAGGCTGACTTGTCCCTAAGGCATGGACAGTGGTGATGGTCCCTGAGCTGGAGGGTACTGGAGGAGGGACGGGTGGTGGGCTAGGGCAACTTTGGTGTTGAGGAAACCAAAACAGGGTGTTTAAGAGTTTGGGCTCATAAACAAGAACGAAATAATGTCATCTTCAGCAACATGGATGGACCTGAAGTAAGTCAGACAGAGAAAAACAAATATTATATGATATCATATATGTGGAATCTAAAAAAAATGGTACAAACGAAATTATTCACAAAACAGAAATAGAGTCACAGATATAGAAAACAAACTAATGGTTACCATGGGGGAAAGGAGGGTGGGGAGGGATAAATTCGGAGATTGAGATTGACATATACACACTATATATATAAAATAGATAACTAATAAGGGCCTACTGTATAGCACAGGGAACTCTTCTCAATACTCTGTAATGACCTATATGGGAAAAGAATTTTAAAGAGTGGATATATGTATATGTATAACTGATTCACTTTTCTGTACAGAAACTAACACAACATTGTAAGTCAACTATACTCCACTAAAATTTTTCAAAAATAATAAAAATAAATTTAATTTAATTAAAAAAAAAGTGTTTGGGCTCTTTCATTGAAAACCACTGCTCCCAGGGAGGGACATGTGGAGGGAAAGGATAAGGGCCTGCTATTTTTCATAGCAAAGCTTGTAAAATAATTTGACTGTGCCTATATATAACTTTGATAAAAATACAAACTTTAAAAAATAAAAATTTTAAAAGTTAAAAAATAAAAGTGGGCTCTTCCGGAAAAATATGTAAACAGCAAGACATTGCTGTGAGAGGAGATGGTACCCATCGGTCACAAGGTATCTTACCCAGTTTGGAAGCATGTGGATTTCCAGGAAGGCTTCACCGAAGAGGTGACACTTGATCTGAGTCTTGAAGGCAACTGACTAGAGGGGAGCGTATTTCAGAAGGGTTGGCCAACTGTGGAAGAGGCATGAGACAGGAGGGCCTCTTAGGAAATCAGTGATAGAAACCAGACAGTGGGAGGTAGGAAGTGACAAGAGATGAGGTCAGTGGGGGAGGAGGGAAGGGGAAGCAGGCCCCAGGCCCAGAAAGCCCCCTTAAGGCTGGTTGATTTTATCTCGAAGACAGAGGGAAGCATAGAAGCAAATTATGAAGACTGAGATATTCAATTTTATGTTTCAGAAAGCTAGAAAGAGGGGCTGTGCAGGGCACAGTTTCCTTGGGAGCTAGCTGGAGACAGATCATTCAGGAGGGAGGTGATGGGGGCCTGTGGGTGAGCTGGTGGCCATGGGGATGAACTGAAGGCTGACTTGTCCCTAAGGCATGGACAGTGGTGATGGTCCCTGAGCTGGAGGGTACTGGAGGAGGGACGGGTGGTGGGCTAGGGCAACTTTGGTGTTGAGGAAACCAAAACAGGGTGTTTAAGAGTTTGGGCTCATAAACAAGAACGAAATAATGTCATCTTCAGCAACATGGATGGACCTGAAGTAAGTCAGACAGAGAAAAACAAATATTATATGATATCATATATGTGGAATCTAAAAAAAATGGTACAAACGAAATTATTCACAAAACAGAAATAGAGTCACAGATATAGAAAACAAACTAATGGTTACCATGGGGGAAAGGAGGGTGGGGAGGGATAAATTCGGAGATTGAGATTGACATATACACACTATATATATAAAATAGATAACTAATAAGGGCCTACTGTATAGCACAGGGAACTCTTCTCAATACTCTGTAATGACCTATATGGGAAAAGAATTTTAAAGAGTGGATATATGTATATGTATAACTGATTCACTTTTCTGTACAGAAACTAACACAACATTGTAAGTCAACTATACTCCACTAAAATTTTTCAAAAATAATAAAAATAAATTTAATTTAATTAAAAAAAAAGTGTTTGGGCTCTTTCATTGAAAACCACTGCTCCCAGGGAGGGACATGTGGAGGGAAAGGATAAGGGCCTGCTATTTTTCATAGCAAAGCTTGTAAAATAATTTGACTGTGCCTATATATAACTTTGATAAAAATACAAACTTTAAAAAATAAAAATTTTAAAAGTTAAAAAATAAAAGTGGGCTCTTCCGTTCTATGCCTGTTTCCTCCTCTGCAAAATGGGGTGATAATAAAAATACACACCTCCTACTGTTGCTGGGACAATTGAGCTTGTAAGTGTGAAAATGCTCGAAAGAATATGTAAGAGCTTTTATTATTGGCTATTATCCTTACTATGCTATGATGATTATTGTGTTAGGTAAGTGCGCTTCCCAAGGGGGGAAACCTCCACATCCTGAAGGGTGTGCAGGGCTGGATCTCAGGAGAAAAGTCTGGGCTGGAGATGAGTTCTGAAACCATCAGCAGAAGTGCTCGATGAGTTACTGATGGGAGTGTGAAGAGGAAGGAGAAAAATGGGCCTGGGCTGGGTCCCAAGGAAACGCCAATGATGGCCACAGAATAGGGGCTCAAGAAGGTGGGGAAAGAAAGTGTCCGCAAAGAAGGAGAGAGACGGGCACAGTGCAAAGGCAGCGTGGAGAGAAGGAGTATGAACAACATCACAGGCTGCCGTCAAGTGACACTGAGTGAAGTAAAAAATGAGGAAGTCTCTGGATCTGGCTACAGAGGCCATTGGTGACCCTGGAGTGGGCTGTGCCAGGGCAGTAGGGGAGGGGGAGGGGACAGGGATGGGAGTAGCAATGTCACCCTGAGGGGAGCATCCCTGAGGAGACCTCAAACACAACATGGCTGGATAAAGGCCCTGGAATTCTTGGCGATGAAGAAAATTTGAGAGAGGGAGAGAGCGAGGGTGCAGGGGTTCAATTCCAAGAAGGAAATGGTGACAGAAAAACCCAATAAAGAGAAAGAAGTCCAGATCCTGGAGAGGATAAAAGACAACCAGAAATGATTTAAACCAGAAGAAGTCTGGGAGACTCAGGGCTGGTGTTGTGGACAGGTCGAGAGACCACCAGCCTTTGAAGGACCTTGAACATGGCCTTGCCTTCGCTCTCTTTTCTTAGACTTGGGTTCCACCCTGGATGAGTGAGGATGGACAAGATAAGAATCCTGGACCAGTAAGACTCCATGTTTTCTCTCAAGCTGCCCAACATACTTCCATGATGTTTCAGAGAAAAGCCACGGTAAGGCACCTTGCCTTTGGCAAGGATAACTTGGATCGTAAAAGTGTAGAACAGTATGGGTTCTTAATTCAGCACACTCATTTTACAGATGAGGACAGTGAGGCTCCAGCCAAGACCTTAGGGTGTCTAAAACTCACAGCCCTATTTCAGTGAATCATGACTTTGACATTTCCAGAAAAAGATGGCAATTGAAGTGGATGATATAAGCAAGGAAGGGGTGGACACCCCAGTTACTCATCTTCTCAGCCCAGTGGGATCATGAATCAGTCACATCCAGTTTTTTTTTTGAATGTTTGAACTTTATTTATTTTTTTTAAACAGCAGGTCCTTATTAGTCATCAATTTTATATACATCAGTGTATACATGTCAATCCCAATTGCCCAATTCATCACACCACCACCACCAGCACCAGCACCACCACCACCCACCACCTTGCCCCCTCGGTGTCCATATGTTTGTTCTCTACATCTGTGTCTCAATTTCTGTCCTGCAAACCGGTTCATCTGTACCATTTTTCTGGGTTCCACATACATGCATTAATATATGATATTTGTTTTTCTCTTTCTGACTTACTTCACTCTGTATGACAGTCTCTAGATCCATCCACGTCTCTACAAATGACCCAATTTCATTCCTTTTTATAGCTGAGTAATATTCTATTGTATATACGTACCACATCTTCTTTATCCATTCATCTGTCAATGGG